AGGAACCGCTCCAAAAATCATCAGCACTCCCATCCGCGGCCCCCAAACCCCCCAGAAAAAACTGGTCTTTCCACATCAGCGTTGGGATATATCTGTGAGCGATCACCGAGAGCCGTTGTGCGTATTTATTTGTCAGCAGAGGGAACGTGAGGGATATCTGTCAAGGTCTTACTGATCTGTTATTGTCTGTGTTATTGTTTGTGTCAGCGAGAGCATGCGCGTGTGCAAGTGTGCGTGTGCGTTTGCGTGAGTTTGGGGGGCGTGTGTGCGTTTGTGGTTTGTTTTTAAATCACAGTATTTTAAAGACATCCTTACAGCTGTATTACATGTACATTCTTCTTCCTTTCTCTATATAGATGGATTTTAAAGGCAAAGCCTACCCGACGATATTTACGTGAAGTAGCATAAATATATAAGATATCGACGATGCACCAGGAGGTCGTAAGGACTTTCTACTGCTGTGCCCCCCCCCCTCTCATATTCCCTCCCTACCATACTCTGTCCTCCACCATCTCTTTTTATGCCATATCATTCTCAGACATTTCTACCGTCCCCAAGGAGGTTATACAGTAGGGTCCTTGACCATCCCCATCTCGTCGTTTTCAACCTGATCACCCCTTGTCTATTTTTCTTTTTCCATCACCACCCCATTTCACATCACACATACATCAATACTCAAACACACAACACACATACACACACACACACACACTCACGAAAACACACACAAACATACACACATATAAACGCTCACACACAAACACGCACACACGCACACACAAACACACACACAAACACACACACACCCACACAACAAGCCTTTTTCTATAAATGAGGGAAGACTTGATCCATCAATGTCAACATTCCCGAAACATTTTCTCCTCCAGGAGAGAGTAGCGTCCCAGAATGACAAACCAGTGCACAAATGCATCCCCTCCCACCCCCTCCCGACTCCCCCTCCTCCCTTTTCCACATCTTTTGGCGAGCACAGACTAGCAGGCGCTTAACACATCTGCGATAAATCATGTTTGATATTTGATTTGACCATTGGTGTAATTTCTGCACTAGATGCCCGGTGGCGCGTCGCTTCTTCTTCTTTAAGTGTCGAACGTTCTGGCAGTTGTGGAGATAGATCAGGGGGTCCAAAACGTTCTGCGCTGCCAACATCTGTCCTAGTATCGGCGGGCCGTGCTTTGACATTCGTGTACGAGATTTACGCTTTTGATATTTTAATGCGCTAACCCATGTGTATGTTTGGGTGGTCGCAATGATTATAATAATTTTTTTCGCCCGCCTTAATCCCTGACTTCATTCGGATAATTTAGGAGTCGCGCTGCTTTGGCAAAGCCAGTAAGGGGTAACTTGCACTTGCAACCCAATAAGGTCATATAAGTGCCTTGTTGGGCAATCGTTTTGAGAATATATTTTGAACATGCAATTCATGCTAGTAAGCGTTTTATGGCATTTGCAATACAGTTAGGTTATACGCATAAACGCCAAAGATTGGTGTTATTACAAGAGAGTGACAACACAGTGAGAACACAAACACAATAAAGAAAGTGGAAAGATATGGACGATAGATGTTTGTTTGATAGGAAAGAAGGGGCGAACCTCACAAGAGCACCCGCCAACCACCCTCTGGACTAAGTGGGATACAAGTATGTACAACATACAAACAGAATATCGGAGACATTCGATGAAGCAAGCTCCCCACAGTGGGTAATTGAAATCACGTCTTTTGCGTGTGGCGGCAAAGAGCAAAAGTATTACATCACAGACATCGGTGCTTGCTTGGGGGTATCTGGGATCTTGTTTGTAGCGCGTAAAGCGTTACCTCAGGGATATACATAACCGAGGAGACAAGGGTCCGCCCAGGGGTTCATATTAATGAACCTTAGAGGACCACTTCCCTCCTAGAAAACTTGAAAGCCTAGATCAGTAGGAATGAAGATGCTTTTCCTTTCTACATCTGTCTGTCTGTCTGTCTGTCTGTCTATCTGTCTGTTTGTCTGTAAGTCTGTCTCTCACTCTCTCTTTCCCTTTCTCTCTCTCTATCTCTCTTTCTTTCTCTCGCTCTCTCTCTCTCTCTAGCTCTCTCTCTTTCTCTCTCTCTCATTCTCTCTCTCTCACTCTCTCTTTCTCCCTCTCTTGATCTCCGGCTTTTTCTCCAAGTACTGTTTGTCTCGCGGACGTATATTGCACGTAGACACTTTTTACCACTGAACCCACTGTTTCTTCCTCATCACCAGAAACAACTAAGGTGACTTTAGACCCTTGTTCGCTAAAAAAAAACAACACATTAACTGTCAGCGGTACTTTCTACCGCAGCATAATTTTTCAAAGTCTACAAACACCCAAGACATACCTAAGAACGACCCCCAGGGAAGGGAGACAACTATCTTAGGTCCTCATAAATCTCAGAGATGCGTTTTTCAAGCGGTAGCTTCTCGGGTACAAAAAACGCACGCTACAGTTATCATAAAAACCGGAACATTTAACCACCAGACGAGTGGTGATGCTATAGCGCGGCGCTGCAATTGGCGGGAATTGCCGAGTCTGGTTAACCCTCTGTCTGACGCCAGTGGCCCGGGCTTGACCCGTCAGAGTTATTGTTCGTGCATAAATTGCGCTGTTCTATGTCTGATGGAGAGGAATGCAAGGGTGAAAGTAGGGGGGTGCACTCTGTATGTAGATGCAGTACTTCCTTTCTTTGGTCAATAAATCATTCGTGTTTGCCCCTAAATTCTCCTCTTTATATGCAGCTATCCCCCGAAAGGAAACAATTACGTTTACTATATGGTGTGAGATAACTCTCTCTCTCTCTCTCTCTCTCTC